GAAACGTGTCGATGTGGTGCTTCGGGACATGGGTTAGTGGGTTGGGTGGTGTTGGGTTGACAGTTGGACTTGATGATCCTTGAGGTCTTTTCCAACATTAATGATTCTATGATCTTTATCCATGACTTGGGGGAGCTGAAAGAGTGCTCAGTCAGCAGGTTTGCAGATGATAACAAACTGGAGGGAACAGGCAAAACACTTGAGGGCAGGACTGCCATTCAGATGGACCAAGATAACACAGAGGAATGGGCTGACAAGAACCTCAGGAAATTCATCAAGGGCACAGGCAGAGTCCTGTCTCTGGGACTGAGTAACCCCCTTCATTGGCACAGGCTAGTGGCTGACTGGCTGGGCAAAAGCTCTGCTGGAAAAGACCTGGGGGTCCTAGCAGAGAGTGAGCTGAGCATAGGCTGGCAATGCACCCTGGCAGCAGAGGAGGCTGACAGGTTCCTGGCTGTATTAACAGGAGCACAGTGAATACATGGAGGGCAATGATTCTCCCCCTCTACACTGCTCTTGGGAGACACAACCTGGTGTACTGCGTTCAGCTCTGGGACACCCAACATAAGAAGGACATGGACCTCTTGGAGTGAGTCCAGAAGAGGGCCACAAAGATGGTCAGAGGGCTGGAGCACCTCCCCTATGAGGACAGGCTGGGGGTTGTTCAGCCTGGAGAAAAGAAGGCTCCAAGGAGACCTAATAGCAGCCTTCCAGTACCTGAAGGGGGCTACAAGAGAGATGGGGAAACACTCTTCATCAGGGGGTGTAGTGATAGGATGAGGGGTAACGGGTATAAACTGAAAGAGGGCAGATTTAGATGAGCTATTAGGAAGAAATGTTTTCCGGTGCGGGTGGTGAGGCAGTGGCCCAGGTTGCCCAGAGAAGCTGTGGATGCCCCATCCCTGGAGGGGTTCAAGGCCAGGCTGGATGAGGCTTTGAGCAACCTGGGCTAGTGGGAGGTGTCCCTGCCCATGGCAGGGGGGTGGAACGAGATGTTCTTTAAGGTACATTCTAACCCAAACAATTAAATGATTCTGTTATGTTGAATTTCATGAAATATGGCTAATTTCAGTGTCTCAGCCATCAGTTTTTATTTATGTCAGAACTAAAAAGGAATAATTGAGAGCTGCATGTAGGAAGCAATACTTGGGTTGAAATGCCATGCGTAGTCATGAAATTGGTGGTATTAAAAGATAAAGAATGATTCATTATGTTTGCAGCATCAGCAATAAGAAAAGCTTTTAGACTCATGAACACAAGGGGAAAATCTCTGCCTGGAATAGAGCATAATTAACATTTTCAAACCATAATATTTTAATGTCAATTGAGATGTTAGCAAATACCTTTTCTACTAGAAATACTAGAATGGAGTCATAAGAGGAAGACCTTTTGAGGATGGTAAAATACACTGTTTCACATTTATCATATTAATAGTTTCATAGATGCAGGATTGCTGTGCCCATTCAGGAGATATCAGGACATGGATGCTATATGCTTTCCTTGTATGCTGTCACTTTTTCTTCACTTTTTCTATAGCATATGGTGATTTATCCTCCTTAACGTTTGGGGTTTTTTTGTACTTAGGGTTTTTTGCTGTTTTGTCTTCAGTGAATGAAGTGTTAACACACCTTAGAAGTAGCGAATGGTTGGGTAACGGGATAGATGTCAATCATATAGACATACTACAGGAGGAGTAAGAGGTTTGGGAGCGGATTTGGGACAGATTTCAAAAACCTGTGTTGTTGAAGACATTACCTAATCTTTTTACGCAAAAGGTGTCTGGGTAACACATTCAGAGTCGCAGTGATGGTGTGGCTTCATTGCACAGGGTTTGACATTACCCATTTCCTTCTTTTCTTTCCATAGCAATCATTGACAGACCACATTGGCTTGCAAAAGTGGTGAGAAAAGGCTGTTTCCTGCATGCCACATGCATAGAAATATAGCTTATATTCAGTGAAAATTAGGTGAATTTTTTTTTATTATTCTTGAGTGTTATATACATGAGCTTAGGTTAAATTTCCTGTGATAAACCAGAACCGTACCAGTAAATATAATTTTGGTTTTACATTTCAGACTAAGTTTACTCGTACTCTTTTCTTCTCAATGTTAGATATTTTCTTTAATTTTTTTTTAATTATTTTGTCTAAAAAGCCTGTTTTTGTCAGAAGGTGCAAGAATTCTTAAAAAATAAGAATAAAGAATGCTTATTAAAATTATTCAAATGACAGCATTTTATTAAAAAACCCAAACAAACCTAGACCCATAGAAGTTAGTGTTGTAAAAGTCTGAATCTCAACATAAAATATTTTCAGATGATTGTATAGGAAAGGGAAAGACTCCTGAAAATTAAAATCTCTGGATGATTATTTGGAACACTTGCAGTTTCAGCAGTGCAAAATATGTATTGCTTTCCATTTGCTAACTCTTTATCGAAGAAGCAGTCTACAAATACGTAATATGTATACAACAGATACTTAAATGCCCTATATAGCTTCATAAGATCAACTCAGTGCATATGTACTGTTAATGTAATAGCCTTGCATTATTGTTTAATTTTCTCTCTTTTTACTTAGTGTATATATATGTGTTTGTGTACAAAAGCTGGTTATTTGGGTTGCCATGTTTTCTTCACTCACTCTCCCGAATTCCACTCTGGAGAAGCACTCCAGGGAAGAGAAATGAAAATACAGGCATGCACTTTAAGTGATTTCTTACATTCAGTCTCTTCAGATAGTATTGGTGGCTCTCTGTTTTACATATGTAGCAATTCATGTACTATATTGCAGTGAATGTTCACATTTCTCCCAAGGAAAAAGGAGGCATATAGGTACATGATATTAGCAGAGATCACTGAAACAAAATTATGCTTCTGTTCATATTATAAAATATATACTTTGGGAGATGAGGGAAAAATATATTCCCTTCTGTGTGCCTTCCATGCAACAAATTGCAGTCAGTGATCAAAAATTACCACTGATACCGATGGTGATTAATACAGAGGTGATATTTAAGTTCATGTATCAGAAGCTGTAAGTTTTAAAGTGGGTGTAACAGGATTTTAAATCATCAGAACTCAAAGCAAGACCTTGGTTTAATATATATTTTAAAATAGTTTTGTTAATTTCACTTTCTTCTTGCCAAACATGACTTGATAAATTAGTTATATCTTCCCATGCAATGCATCCATCTGTTAAAGCAGTGTAACTTGGATTACCAAGATAGTAGAGTCATGCAATTTGATTAACAGAAGGGGAATAAAGAGGTGCAAGCTTGAACTCAACCATCTCTGAATTTTCAGAAAGCATCTGAACATCTACTGTCAGCAGTGTAAGTGGTCTTTCATATATTTATATAGCTTACTAATGAGTTAGCTCTAGGATAATTCAAAAGAGACTTCCCTTCCCATCCCTCTTTGGGTTAAACCAGTAGACGCAGTGTTTTCACGCACCTTAGTTTTGTGGAGCAATTTGATGTAGGCACCACATTGAAGTCATTGGCTAACATTGTGGTGTGGCACAGACTACTTTTCTCTACCCACCAATAATAATAATAATAAAAAAAAAGTTTTTCCAGACTTAAATACGATTTGAACTCTCTTTAAGAGAGTTGCAGAAGTGAAACAGATGTCTGTCTTGCTTGCTGTAGCAGATGAGCAGCTTACATCTTGGTCTGATGAGATGTCAAAATAGGATTTCATAGAATAAAATTTGGCAGAGCTTTGTCTTACTGGAGAAGAGAAAGTTTCTGGAGACTTTGGAAAGCTGACAAATTCTTGTCTGGCTGTTGAAGTTCCTATTCCTCCAAGTGAAAAAGGAACCAACTGACAATTTTTTTGAAGTAACTGCATGTCACCTGTTATTGTACTTTGAGCTATAGCTCAGATCCATAGATCAGAAGGAACTTTGGCACTAAAACTTACTAACTAATGAAACAGTGAGAAATGAACAGCCAGTGGTAGCCATGGCAAATGAGTAGATCCTCTGCTAAGGACCCATAGCTGGAGAGACAAAAACTCCCATGGACTTTGAAAAATCACATGAGTAACAACAGCTGTTCTGGTTGGGAATCTCCTTGATGCATCTGCTAACTTTTATTTTTACAGCTGTCAGATGTAGGAGAAGATCCAAGGCACTCCTAACAGTTTGTTAGCTTCTCAAGCACGGGAGGGTGGAAAATCAGTTCTAGTTACAAAGATTGATACTGGGATGACAACTGAACTTCCTTCAGCCCAGTGACACACTGTAACCTTACGTACTACATTACTGAAGTTCTTCGTAGTGCTTAGAGGCGGAACAGTGCAGGAAATTAAAGCGATTTAATTTCAAAGCTCTAGGGGGCAGTAAAATGAAACAAAATTTTTAAAAACCCAGCCGTCCTCTTTCCTGCTTGCAGTACAAATAACTGCATTCCCTGTGAAAAGGGAAATCTGAAAAACAACAAACACAGAGAGAGAGGTGACACCTTGTTTAAAAATTTCAGATTTCATTGACCCTCAGAGTATCACTGCTGCCGTTGAGAGACTGCACCATTCACTAGCCATTCACTAGTCTGTACAGGAAGCTGAAATGCACCAGGTACCATTTTAGTATTTCCTGGGCCGCACTGCTCCGGAGGGCAGACAGGCTGCCTGGAGAGAGTTGTAGCTGGCCATGACTCTGAAACTAAAACGAGACAGTGCTGGCCAGAATGGGTGGCACCTCCACGTAGAGTCCACTGTCTGCCCTGTACGAGAGTTGAGCAGAGGTGAAAATTGTCCTTTCTTTGTATAAATTCTGGAGAGGTTATGAACAGAGATGAACAGCTTATCTCTAAGTGAACCCTGTGTTTGTGCAGCTGTCCTTAAAGCTGCATAAACCTACCGAGTGCAACGTCAATTCCACGCTCTGCTTGTATGGGATTTCTCCCTTCTAACCATTTCACAACTGTCAAGTATATTTTGTGAAATGAGATGTTGTAGCTAATTTATTCTGAACTTCGTGGCTAATTTAGGCAAGGCCTAAACTGATATTTTGATATTTTTCAGTCTCTCAGAAGTTAACAGTATTTTCCCAGGTATTTGCAAGAGCTGTTGCTTGTTCTTATCTGAAATATCCGAGCACCTCTGTCATTTACAAACAGTATGCTTGCCTTACTTGACTACTCCAGGATTACTTGCTGCCAATTCAGTGGCTTTCGCTAGTCTGTTTTCAGGAGTCTATTGCTGATTACTCAAATTCAAAACTCTTAGCTCAGTAAGTTTGAACATTATAGTAGGAGCACAGTTTGATTTCTCAGGAAGTTTAGTGTCTTTCTACAAATGATGGGTCCAGCACAGGGTCTTTAGCTTTGAATAAAATAGTTTTTACAGCATGCTGATAGTCTAAAAATTATTTTTTTTTTATAAAATTTGCTTCTGGGGGCCCATTTTCCTAGAAAGGAAATAATCCCTCCTTCTTCTTAGGTGCAGCTTGCGTTGCTTTTTTTTTTTGTTCTTCCTTCTCATATGTGTAGGTATGGAAACAACTATGTTTGTTCCTTCCTATGCAATGCATCCATCTTGTGATGCTATTAAAGGTGAAGTAATGTAGCATGAAGGAATTCTAGCAAGTGATAGAGAATATATTAAGAAATACTACATATATAATGCAAAGTCCTTGTTTTCCACGTTTTACTGTATCAGTTTTGAACATTTAGAAAAATAATCGCTATTTCTTACAATGTAGCAGCAAAACAGTTTTTTTAATTGAGATCGTTTAAAACATAATTACCAAATTATAAACACTAGTTTGATCTTATTAGGCAATTTGTAAGCATCTTAATTTAACTTTGTGAATATTCAGACTCATTCTGATCTTCCTTCGGAGTTCGAGATCAAACTGAATGGAGGCAAGCGTGCAATAATTTATCATGCAGATCATGGTGAAAAATGTCAACTTGTGTTGATAAATCCTTCCTCAGTGGACTTTTTTTCCTGGACATTTGTGATCAGTAGGTAATTTCATTAGTTTGAAGAGTTCTGGTTCACACTAAAATAGTTTTACTCTTTTATCACAGATACACTGAGTGGAGGCTTGTATTAGCAGTCTTCCTTTGTGGACAGTAATTTACCTGACTGCAAAAAAACTTGTAGCAATGGCAAAACCACAGTAACTTATTTAAAGAAACTTGCCATTTTTCACATTTCAAATTGGCCAATATGAAAGATTGTCAAATACTCTCAAATATATTGGTGATGTGGTATTAGTCACAAATTAAGCTATGAAGTTGAATTCCATCTTTACCTTGAAAGTAGTAAACTTCCAATACTTCAATAGAACTGAGTCGAAATACTAGTCAGTCGATACATATAAATTTTCTGATTTAATAAATATAACTCTTTGAATTTGATATCTAGAACTAATACTTATATTAGTCCATGTAATTTGAATATAACTTTTTTGACAGAGTACTACCCTTTGGAGTGATTAATGACCAAGTATCAATATATCTATACAGTGCCATGATAGTGCTTATATAGTATTCTGCCATTGTTCCATTAAAAAAAGGAGAGAACTCATAAAAATTTACTTAATTCAGCGTGAAAATTGGTTTTTGAAAGTACTGTATTCTTACAGTAGATTTAAAATTTGTTTAAAGTCCTGTAAGAACGTATTAATTCTCAGGTTTTTTTTTAAAAAGTTAAATATATAACTAAAATGTGCTGCAAAATCCTAATTTCCTTGGTAGGTAAGTCATGTAATTTATTTTCTAAAAAACCAGAAGTAGATACGATATGTGAAATCAGCCATAAGGTCATGTTTCATAAATTTTTGAAATCCTGGCCTTATAGAATCCAATAGAAACCTTTTCATTATCTTAACTGTGACAAGAAGTCCATCCCACATGCAAAATCAGCTAATTTTAATCTTCTGGTCAGAGAAGAAGTCTCAGTCCCTGAGAGGGAATAAGGGCAGTAACAGTATAAACAGCATGAACATTCATTCTTAGTTATTTCTTGAACACTTACAGCTGCTGTCCGGTCCACCTCACAGCGGCTACTCAGAATGAAACAAGCTTCAGCATCAACCATTCTAGAAGAGTGGAGACAAGCCTGTTACATATCAGCAAAATACTTCTGTGGACTTGCGTTTGGCAGTGTATAGTCTTGTATGCTTACAGAATCAGAATACAGAGAAATTTTAGTCTGTCTGTCCTTACGCATTATCTGAACATCAGCAGCAGTCACCTTGTGCACTCACTCATGGTGTACCGGTACCTCTCGATAGGTTCTGGGAAACTTTCTTTCCCTGGTGCCAGTAGAAGCTGTGACAAAGTAATAAAAGCAGAGTGGCCTCAAAAACACTTTGCAAAATAAATATCTATCTGACTTGAGTATAAAAGGTGAATAAATAGCACCAGTCTGCGTAGTGTGTAAGGGCATGAGATGTACAAGGTACTATTGATAAGAAGGAATGAGAGGGGGCAGCTAACTTTATATAGACTCGTCTTGCCTAGTGACAGCAGAAGGATGGGTAGACATACTAGAATAATGTTTTTGGGATAAATAACAAACTTTCTGTGTGTGCATGCATGAAATGAATTAACTGTTTTCAGTTCATGGTCTCTTTGAGAACTTTTAATGCCTAATTCTTCTCTAGTGGATAAAACCAGTCATGTAATAAAAAGAGTGGTGGTGGAAGTGTGGAAAAAACTGTCTGACTGAAGGTTTCAACAAAGTGTGCTTTTCCTCTCTTGCCTCAGATCTTGATATCCTCCTCCAGTGAATCCTGCTTCACTTACTGGTACATGGAAGAAAAGAAACAGGGGCTTGGCTGACCTCCTTGGGAAGACAAGACTTTCTGGGCAAAGAGAAACAAGATGATCAGAATGGATTTCCTGGGGAGGGGAAAAGTGTGACAAAAGCTGGGGAAAATGAACAGGCTGTCCAGAGTTTCTTACAGCAACTCCATTCTGCAGTCTGGGATGGGACCTGAGATTCCTAAATCTTTGGTTTCTCTGCTGCTAGAAGATGGAACTGGTGGGTTTTAGTAATACGTTAGGCCATTGGGACCCTAGGCTTAGACTGAGAGCCCATTCTTTTAGGTACTGTGCAAATGCAGAACAAAAAGACAGTCCTTGCTATGTAAGCTCTATGTGACATGACAAAGGACAAGAAAGGTATATGCAAACACAGGAAACAGGAAGAAATTTATCATGCTAGAAAGTGGTCTCACTAGATATCAGAGCACAGAAGTGACTGAAGAGAGCATGCAATGGAAAATACTGGGATTACTTTACAGATGTTTCTGCAAAATTTATCCTGGATTGAAGGGACAGCATGGGTGAAATCCCAGTGGGACTGATATGATAATCTGTTGCATGTGTGGAAGAACAGCATTATAGGCTTTGCAGAAGGTTACCTCTCGCTAAGAACTGGAAGTTGCAGGGTAAGTGAGAATAAGGGGTCACTCCTTGATGCCATAAAGAAGGGTAAGCCAGGGAAGGAATGCAATGATGCAAAGTGATGTACTACACAAATAATATTCCCAGAGTGTTCTGAAACAAGGGTTCAGGGAGTTGAGATGATTGAGATATGTCAAGAACATAAATGTAGCTTTAAGTGGGGCACAGATGAGAGTTTGTGTGAGAAAACACTTGTAAGGTGCAGCTCAGTCTACATAGGATGCTCTGCAATATGATTACAAGGTTATGATCCCCAGTAGGATCCTGGTTTTATTTTGGTAGCAAAATTTAAGATCTATTGACAACTACCTGCAACTGAACTAAAGTTGATGAATCGGTATCTAGAAGGAGATGTCAGATAGCTTGGCCAACCTTTTAGTTTTTGACTGTAGAAATAGTGATTAATTTTGTGTGTTTTGTGTGAGATAATTCAGAGAAAGTATAATGGAAAGAGAAGGATAAAGTCAGGTCATTGCAGATACCTCATAGGCATATAGCAGTAGAAAAACAAGGGAAGCCTCAAAGGATTAAAGTACTTGAAATGGAGAAATCATTGTAACAAAGGCAAATCCATATATCCAAAATAGTAAAGTCGAATGCAGCTGATGTGGAGAAGTGAGGACAGGAGGCCACTTCTTGAGTGCTGATTAGGAAGAAATCATTGGAGCTGCAGGAGTAGTTTCAGCTAAGCATGGGAGCAGAATTGGGAAGAGAAGGTCTTATCAAAGTTAAAAGGAAAGAAAATTCAGTGAAATGACATGAGATTTTGATGATGTGACCAGGTTGACAGTATATATAGATGACTTCATAAGGAAATGAAACATCATGTGAACATATTCACCTTTTTTTCCAATTTTTTTTTAACTTCTTGAATCACTTCAGCCACAGATGACAGGGATAATAACCTGAGATTAACGTCTATGAATGTCATTAATTTAGACAACAGAAACACTAATAGCATCTGTGCTAAAAACATTTATTAGAACCCAGAGTATCCTTATGAGAGAAGTGTTATTAATGTCTTTAAAAATTTTTGTCAATTACACCAGTTCTGTGTGGCAGAAAACTGAATCTGAGACAAAAAACCCCGAGTAGTTCCACTGCTTATCCTAGGACAGCAGAAATTAAAGGGACTTTATACATGGAAGAGAAATTTGTGAATAGAAAAGGTATAAGGTAAAGAAAAAGAGTGGACACGAAGAGATTTAAGACTTGTGATGGTTCACTAAAGAAAGTGGAAAGGAAGAGAAAAAATATTTGAGGTCATGACGGAACATGGGAGAAGGCTGTAGTGGAAGGAAATCAAGCACGGTAGTGTTATTCACTTTCTAGTGCTAGTCTGCATGGAGAATGAGAGCTGTTTTAATCAGGTACTGTGTTGTTTCAAATGCTGAAGTAGCTATAAAGTTTCCAGTCATGCTGATGAACAATATAAGTATCGGTGTGATTACCTCACGATAGAATTAATTTGGGGTTTTTGCTAAAGCTGGACACATGGACATTGTTCAGAGAACACCAAAAATTTGCAAAGTGAAGCTCTCAAAGCTAGGAAGCAAGAGCAAATACAATTTTTGTAAAGTCAAATTGTGTACTAGGACATATAGAGAAAAATACAGTCTTTACTGTATTTTTACTATTTGCTACTTATGCAGTCAGCCAACTTTTGATATTCCTTTACTTTTTGGTGCAACATTTATCATGTTATTTTGACACTGGACTTTATGTATTATATGTATAAATTCTGATAATGAGACACTTCTTGATTTTTTTTTTATTGGTGGTGGCAACCATTACTTTATTTATTAGATGAAGTTTACCATGTGCCTTGTTATCTTCTCAGTACGTTATGCTCTCATTATAAAGAAACAGAGCAAACATCCTAAGTACTGGGTTATATTTCATATTAAATGTTCTATTAAATTCCCACTATGCTGCTTCTCTCAGGAGAGGTTGAAAATTATTCTATGACAGGTACTTTCAATTACACGTTCTGCAGGAAAAAAACACAGTTCCACAGTTGACTACCTCCAGGTTATTATAAGTGAAATTTAACATTATCTTTAGGGAACAGCTTAATTTCTCTTCTCCTAATGTGTAGAACAAATGCCAGCTAAATCCCCGCATGAATTCCTTCTTCAAATCAACAAGAAAGAAAAAAAAAAAAAAAAAAGGAAACTATCTCTAAAAGAGAATTCCTAATCATGAAAAAGCTTTATTGTCTTTTCAAATTTTAAACAGATACAGAAGTTGTTGTTTTTTCAGTGTCAGAAATCTGAGAAGACAACACTGCTCACTAGACTTCTCACAAATCACATTCTTGGAAATAACTTCCCTGGGGTAAAGAAAGGTTGAATGACACAAATACTCAGATCGGTATTAGCTCCATTTTAGATATCTATATTAGTTGCTTAATAAGTTGTTATAAAGAGCAATGCAGACAAGTTAAATCAGTTATTTGCTAAGAATCACCTTTCTCTGTCTTTGGCGAGTTTAAAGAGACAACCCTACTTGAATTCCACTGTGAATTCCTTCACACCTTCAAGCGATTGAGCAATGGGGGGGGAGGCGTTGAAGAACTGTGTTTGACTGATGTGTTTTGACTAACGTCATTCACTATTAACTGGAAGAGGGAATTTTTTAGAAGTGGTGGAAGCATGTGTTAAGAGGAGGGCCCTGAAACAAGAGTATATGGAGGTATAGTAGGGTATTTGCTTATACTGTCAGGCTGAACTTGGGAAGAAAACAAAACTGTGGAATGGGTTCAAAGGGTGATAATTATTTTTGTTTACTTTTTTTTTTTCCCCTTCAGTTGGTCAAGGTGATAATTATTTTTGTTTACTTTTTTTTTCCCCCTTCAGTTGGTCAAAAGAACTACCATCACATTTACTATCTTTGCTCAAGGAACAGAAATGAATTCTAGAATTACTGTCAGTTTTGGAATTTTCTGTGCTGCTTTTTCAGAAGAAATCACAGGCACTTTGTTTCAATACCTTTGAAAACTGAGACAGAAAAGACAGTGAAGAAAAAATTGGTCAAATGAAAGAGCTTACAATGACTTGTTCCTTGAAAAAATTTAGATATTAAGAAAAATAAATTATATCAAAGAGCCCTGCTTTCTAAATACACATACTTTCCTTCTAGCACAGCTTTTCTTGTCAAACTTATTTATCAAACAGTATGACTGAAAGAAAAGTAAAAAACAATGCTGGTCAATATTTGCCTACTTAGCTCTCAACAGGTCTTGATCTTTTAGTGCTGAGCCTTGCAGATAGATAACTCTTTGGGACCACATTGGGATTTGTAACACCCTTCGGACCTGAGCATCCATCTCAGTAGGACACAAAATAACAACATAATAGTCCTGTCAAAAACATAAGGAGGAATAATCATGTTACCATTTATTGTTGCTTGAGATTGAGTCAACAGACACTCAGGACGTCAAAGATGTCTCAGAAAATACTCAAATTTAATTGACAAAAGCTATTTGAATACATGTGTTTAAAATATTGAATTATTTAATAAAAATGGCTGGACAGTTATCAACTACTCACAAAAGACTCCAAGATGGCAACTAAAGTCCATTTAGAAACATTTTTGCTTCCATATCAGCTTATTTTTTTTTTTAGAAGCAATTTACATTTCTGTCATTCCAGCTGGAAAATGTAGGAAGTTTCCAACAATCAAAATGGAATTTATCTTCCCCCTAATTTTTTCCTCTGTATTAATGGGCAGATCCAAACTCTGTTTCCTACAGACAGTCCTTGTTAGGAAAAGTAAGGTTGCTCCAAAATATATAATTGGGTTGGAAGGGACCTTAAAAATCATATAGTTCCAACCCCTGGCCTTGAACCCCTCCAGGGATGGGGCATCCACAGCTTCTCTGGGCAACCTGGGCCACTGCCTCACTCCCCTCACAGGAAAACATTTCTTCCTAATACCTTATCTAAATCTGCCCTCTTTCAGCTCAAAACCGTTACTCCTCGTCCTATCATTACACCCCCTGATAAAGAGCGCTTCCCCATCTCTCCTGTAGCCCCCTTTAGGTACTGGAAGGCTGTGTATGTGTGTCCATATGAAAAGCAGAGATAAATGGAATGTAAGAGGAGAGACTGAGAGCTGAGGACAGGCTTGTCCTAGAAGTCTTCCTTAGCACACACAGACTTTGGCAGAAAGCTTAGTGCATTGCATCCAGTGCATCATCTGTATCCTCCAGCTTCCCATTCATTTCAACTGGGAAAGGAATGTATATAAGCTCTTTCAGCCTACGTAAGTAGTACTAGGACTTTTTCTTTTTTGTCTCCAGTGTATCAGAGACTCATACTTCAGGCTAGTTAACTAAATTCTGGATTTCAATTTGTGTTTGCATCTACAAAGAACTGGATTTCTTTGTTCATTTGCTTATGCCTCTTACTAGCTAATTATTTTGGGGAATATTTTGGGTTTGAGATTTGTCAAATTGCTGCTCAGCAATTTGAGGATTGTATTTTTGTGATTTTTTTTTTTTTTTGCACTAGTTCATGAAGCACGGTACCACAGGTAACTTAGTAAGAGATGTGGAGATGATTTAGTAAAAGAAATGTTCTGTAGCAAAGCTAATGATAATGAATCCAAATTGCTATCTCATATAAATAAGCTTTTATATGATTAAAATAAGTCATTTGACATCTGTTTGCGTTAGTTAGGGAATATGTCTACACTGAGAAAATCTCTTGTGTGTAATCTTCCAAAGTCTTTGTCCTTTAAAGTACGTCTATTTATTTCAACAATTCCAAAAGGATCTAATCTTCCTAACACTGGGAAAAACCAAAGCAAAATGTGAAAGCCAAAAGATGCTTTGACTTGTGAGGCATTTTGGATCCAGTCCCAAAACAACAGGAAAAAAAATAATTTGAGTAGTTTTAATTTATTTTTTTTGGTTTGGGGTAGAACACAAGGAATTTGCATGGAAATATCTGTTTCTAAAAGGACTGGCATAATTCAACAAGACAGTAATTCTATCAATTTAGTCTATTTACCTCAATTTAAAATGAATGTCTCCATACTGTACCTCAGCTTCTTACTGCAAGTATAGATTCCCAATTCAGTCAGCTATTCCCAAATTCAGTTTTACAAATTAAAGACCATTTCAGAAGGCTGTCTGCAAAACATCATTGGTTTATTTTCTTTTTTTTTTTTCACTTTAAGTACCTGCAGTCTGGGGTGAGCATAGAATTCATTTAAGAAATCCATAAGTAAGTCAATCTTCAGAGAGCTAACACACAGCACAACATGTTTTTCTGTCTGAGCTCTGTGTCGACTGTAGTTACCACCGGACTTTTGTCTCTCCATCCACAAATAGGCCAGCTGTTCAAACTGCAAGAGATGCCCGTTGTCAGTGCAATATAGAAAAGCAGATGTGCAGTACAACCGCATCATAACTGAACAATGTTGCAGCACATACCTCATGCCTCTGTGAAAAGCTGGGCTAACCACAAGGTCTTTTTCTTTGTAACAAGTTCTCTAGTAAGTGGGTGAGATGAATCACAGGGTGAGTGAAAAACATGGCGCTAGAGCCAGCCTCTACCACATACACATAGCAGGGCAAATCCATTAAAATATCATGAGATTACAATAAGTCTCTGGATTTTTAGAAAATAATGCAGGCTGTACCTTGTTTATGTTTTTTATACCTCTGAGCTCTCTTTTTCCAGTGCCATGTGATATAAATCCTTCCCTCAAATGAATGTTTAAATTTTCACACACTTAATGTGTATACTGTGAGTATAGATACTTGGACAGAAGCATCATTTTACTTAGTTTGGGCACTAACTCTTCTCAGAGATTTTATAATGTTCTGAAGGTGACCTTCTGTGTACTCTCTTGTCTGTCATAAATTTAGATACAACTGAAATACACAGCAGCTGTTCATAGAGCAAATTTGCCTTCGCCAGCTGAACAATATATGCAGGCTAACAGTAAACATATGGCTCTACTAGTCTGAATCCTTTAGACTAAAGAGAATAGGGTAACCTGTGTGCCACTGCAACAATCTGTAATAAAACACAAACACAATTTCAAATTTTCTTGTAATACGTGTCTAACACTGAGCTCAATTTCACTGGCTACCTGTGTGATACCTGCTTTGATGGAGAGACTGAATTGTGAATAATACTTGATTTCACATCATAGCGGGACAAAAGCTTAGGAGACAATGCCTCCCGCATTCTGTGCACGGAAAACTATATGAAGCCCCATTATCACTACAAAGCTATAAGGTAGCTAATAATAGGTAAATTTATGTGAAAGGGTAGTAGATTCCAGGTTATTTACTGGTAATGCAGAGCTCTTATGCCTGAAGTATATAACGGAACTACCTGAAAGGTGAAATTTCTATTTCCTAGGAACTTCTGAAGTTCTTAAAGCATATTTTAGTTTTCCATAGAATATATATTTGACTTAATTACCATTGAGTGGGAATACAATTGTGTTAGTGAATATGTCTGTGTATGCAGACAATAAATATTTAGGTATAATTAAAATGTTCATATAATTTCAAGAAAATTAATGCTGAAAACTTGAGCTTCCAACCTCTCGGGGTTTCTGTGTTGTCTGCTCACAGTGAGCTTTAGTTCACTGTCAAAGAAGCAGAGTCTGGAAACTCTGTTTGTGTGAGAAACTTTGGAGCTTCATGGTCTAGCAGGTCTACTACAAGCTTTGATAAGCATGCACAATGTCTCTCCACATCCTTTTCTTGTGGCATGAGCTCTGGGTGATCACCATGCATGGAACAGTTAGCATCTTGGCAAGGCTTCCCATTTAACGTCAGGGTTTCTGTCATCAAGCCTCACCTAATGAGCTGGGAAATGCATGGTACAAATTTAATGAAATGGACTGACTCCTTAAAATACCTGGATTTACATAAATCAGACTTTTCCTGTTGAAACTGTTAGACGTACTAAACTCAAGTAGGCATCAAAATTCCTAACTGTGCTGTTGGTTCTGTGTGTGTTTGTACTGACGTACACAGCTGTGAACCCAATTTGCTCGAGTTGCAGATTTAATGACTTTTTTTTCATGTTAGTACTGAGCTGTAAGAGTAAGAGAGGAAGTGGAGAGAACCAAGATCAGAAACAGGGAGAGCCTGCAGAGGAAATGCTGTATTCATAAAGAAAAGCACTGACTACTGTTGGTTTTTAAAAAAATTGCTCCATTAATAACAAACCCATATGTCAGGATGAAGGAAGGGCTCTCTGATACAGGGCAGGAACAGAAAGCATTCACCAGCACTTGGCAACTGTTGTTAGTGTTCTGCTTTTTAGTGTAAATCTAGACTATAGGAGAACAGACAAAGGAAAAAAGGAAGGAAAAAAAAAAAAAAGGAGATATAGAAGTTGGTTATTTTTCCTGACATTTTATACGCAATAATAATAGTGACAATAAATTATTTCAGTTATTATTCTTTTGTTTCAAAAAGAATTCTAAAGAGAAGAAAAATCCATATTTACCTGTATGGGCAACACCACAAGAGCAACACAGATCATAATGACAACAAGCAGCTTTGAAGGCCATATCTTGGGTGTAACATCCCCAAAGCCCACAGTGGAAAATGTCACTATGCAGAAATAAAGGGAGTCAAAGAGAGTCAACCTGTTTCCTGCTCGTTCCAGATGCTGAATTCCACAAATACTATGTAGAAAAGAATGAATAAAGACACGAAAAATAAAGACTGTACTTAGGGTCAGTTCAACTTTGATGATTATATGTGCAGAGAACTATGCATTTTCAGAATTCATAAATTGCTTAGCAACAACATTTTTTCAAAGAAGAGTAAAAATTTGTATCAAACCAGAAGTGTGTTATTAATATAATTTTCAAATGTCACTTGTAATAAAATAAACTAATTTTTTTATTATTTCAATATGATAGTCACAACTTTTTTGCTAGGTTTTGCTTAGTGGCTGTTGTGAGGGAGAGTTGGTATATAGATCACAGATTGATGCAATTCCTTTCTAAACCAGAACAAAACAGATGGCACACAGTTGCCGCCATTCAGAATTTTTTATAAACATCTTTTAAATTTTTCAGGGAGAGTTTGCTGGCATGGCCAAGAAAATGTACATTCTGGTTTCTTTAAATCGGTCGCTCTTTATGTTGGTCTCTGTCCCTTTCTATGGCAAGAGTTACTGGCATGAACACGTTGTGAGAGCATGTGTTGCATACTAGAAGGATAATGTTAGTACAAATGGGTACTGACTGTCTAAAATAAACTGAATGTGAGAATTGCAGGCTATCGAATTGTCAGAGGAGTAAGTGTCCAGGGTCAGCCTTCAGGTAGAAAGTGGAAGATGCCAACTGGTATGAAGATTCTGCTCGCTAAAAGTACTGAATAGAAATATAAGGCTTGGTTGTCTTTGAGAGCAGAACAAATGAAGTTCATTCCTTCCAGTCACACATTCCTGCGAAGAAGTAAATGGTAGCCCAAGTTAATTGGTAATTATTTCTCTTGCAATCAGCATGATGTGCTTTTGGGTTGAGAAGCAGTAGGTGAATCTATCCACAGGTCTTACTGCTATTTCCTACGTTGCAGATTTTAAAAATATTCCACTTTCAACAAATTCACCACAATAAAGAGCTTCCCAAGCTTAAAATATGATCTTCCCTAACACAGTAGAATTACTTAGATGAGTTCAGGTCTTGAAGTTATATTCACCTATATGAAGAAAATCAATGTGTGAACCACCCTGAATATTGTTTTTTCCCCTCGGCGTTAGCAGAATGATTTCTCCTCAGAGAATTAGAGAGATAATTGACAAATAATATCATATTCCTTAGTAATTATTCTAGAACATACCAAAGATAATTTCTTCATCTATGGTATCCAGATGGTAATAGTCACTCGTTAATATCTGCCATGTTAAGATCTTTGCATCACCAGGGAGATCCTGTGTTTATAACAGCTTTAGCAGTTGTTCTTCTGTTCCCTAGTCTGTTCTCCAAAAATAATTTAGCTGTGGGCAGTGGCATTTCCAGAACATATGGATCAAATTCCCAGTTTCCTTTTCACAGTTCTAGCATTTGTAGTTTTCACACATCTCAAAATGTTCTGAAAAGGCTGGGTTGTTTTTTGTTTTTTTTTTTCCCCTGTTGTTTGCATGAGTTTCATACTTCAGTCAGAACTGATACCTTTGTATTGCTATCCAATTTGTCCCACATTTTTTCACTGGAGTTGTAATCTAGATCTTCCATAATTTCACTGTTCCCAGTTTTCTTTTTTTTTTTTTTCTGACAAAAAGGATAATTGGTTTTTTGTCCCTGAAAATACTAACAGAAGGACTGTAATGAATTATGCTAATGAAGCTTTCTTTTAGTCTCAGACAAGGAAGTTTTTCAGCTAAATCCTTTGCCAGTGTTAATTTGAAGTAATGGTGTATACTGCAGAGGGATCCAGTTACGGAAAAATAAGCTATTTTAATATCATTATTCACATACGTTGTATGTCATTTTAAAAGCAGAATGGTGATGGGTTTTTAATTCTTATTTGTTATTATTCCTGATCACCATGGTGCATTTTCTTCTTTTTAGTTGTCTTTTGTGGGTACATCTCTAAAACACATACCTAGACTTCAGGAATTAAAGTCACGAGGGCCAGGAAAGCAGCAATTACGCTGAGCCAGTGCTATGGCTCCCCTGTAACAGGACTATTCCACCACTCCACCAGTGTGTTAAATATCTGCAGATGGGTTTGTATTGAAGCATAATGCATGATCCTATCACTGTCAGAAATGTATTTTTTCTGATGCTGGTGCCTGTGAAATTGTTTGGTGTTTGTATAAGCAAAAGGGTCAATTTTACCCTTTCTAACTGACAAGATGGATAAAAATGTAAAAAAAAAAAAAAAAAAAGGTACTGTAGGGGTTTTCAAGAAAATATTTTCAAGGAATGAGAATTGTTTCTTCATTTTTTGTTCTTTTTGTAAAACCTTAAAAAAAAATTGATAGCTTACTGTCAGGAAAGCTCAAGTCCTGATGAAAGAGATATATTCTTTAATATTATTGTTATTCATGAGCTTTCTGCAGCCAACCTACCCAATCATACTTTAGCTTAAATGAAATAAGTTAATGTATTATGAACCATTTCAGCCTTTTCTAAGTGAATAGTAAAATTCCCATTGAATTTAATGAGACCAAGATTTCATTTTATCAGCTGTACTTCCTTCTAGTCCTATATATTCTTATTCCTTGAAGCCATCAAAATAATTTTGTGCCTTATCCAAAATGTCGTGGATTTAAGCTGTTTCTCGTTGAACTCAGTGGGCATGAGGCAGAGCTGCTCACATTTAGTTAACAATATTAAAGTCAGTAAGACACTGGAGCTAGTTCCTCTTTGCTGAAGCAGAAATTTAGCCCCTCTAACAACTTGTTGAATAAATTAATTTCTTTCCTCAAAATAACTTGCACTTCATTTGCAGTTCTACCAAATTGTACTTGAAGCCCTAAACCTGAAAACAAAGGAATGATAAATCCAAAACTAGGTTACTAAGTCTTAATTTTTCTGGGGGTTTTGCTGCTCTGCCTTTTTTTTTTTTTTTTTTTTTTTTTTTTTTACTAGAGCCAGAGATCACAAAAATGCAGAAAAACCTGACTTTCAAGACAACTTTATGGGAGTCTAATTACCAAATGAAATATTTACCTCTTTTACTCCTCCCCAAGAATATTATACCTTAATCTCACCACCAGTGCCTCTAAAGAAACGTTACTCAGCATCAGGAGCGTGGTCCTATCTATCCGGGCCACCTGATTACACTGCATATAGAGTGCAATGGAAAGTTACTGGCTGTCCATGAAGCCAAATCCACGTGGATTAGTGAGTCCAGTCCCCACAATTCATTTGCATCTTTTAATATAACCTAATTCCTTATATGAATAGTAGTATCAACATATTTTTTTCTTGTAAATCAAGTGCTAAGCATTATTTTTAAAAGATGTATCAATACAGACAGCATATGTTATTGTCTGCTTTCTCATACTTCCTGACATAATGAAATATGCAGGAACTTCCACTTCATCTTTTGTCTGTTTTTATTGTGGTATTTTTATCTCCTTGTTTTTGTTTGCTTCCTGCTCCTCTTTCATCCCATGAAGAAACACTAATTTACTTGATCATCCCTGGACAAACAGTGATTTCAAGCAGGAAGGGAGTGTTCAGCAAAGGCAATGCTCACACCAACTTGTTCTTGTGAAGAAAATAAACCACTGTAGTAATAAATACACAGAAAAAACCCAGTTAAAACATAGGGCCCAAGACAGCACCTTCTATATGAATTTTAGGTTTCCTGTAAATTCAGCAAGGCTGTCTTTTCATAGTGGATTTAAGTGAGCAGTCACAACAAAACAAAATGTTTACAGAGAGGAGATTTAATATTACTAAAAAACCCACAGAAACCCAAATCATGGATCTGCTAAAGCAAAAGTAGTATCAGAAAAATTATTACACACTTACGGAGAACAGAAGTGTAATTTTAAACACTCTGCTATTACTGCACTTAAAAAAAAAGTAAAGATAGTAACATGTAATCTCTGAAGATCACTAATGTTTAGTTTAGGCATCATTTGAACTTTTGAGAGTTCAATCCTTCTTTTACTGGAAGTTTTCTTTCTAATTCCAGGAATCTTTCTTTACTTGAGTGTTTTATGTGCCAAAACTAACTTCTGTTTGCAAGTAACCTGTCTCCGTATGCAGTAGAGCAATAAATAGTGTAGATCAAAATAATAACCCCTGAGATTAAGTCAGATTTTTGTCATGCTGTGGTAGCATGTCATAGAAATGGACATAACAAGAATCATTTGAATAGCCATTTTCAAGTCCTGTACATTAACTATCCTTATTCATAGTTGTTTATAATCTACTTTATATCAGTTTGTATTTTCAGTTGTCTGTGTTGCCAAATATGTCTGATTTCTACATTTTTATTTTTACTTTTAGAGAAAATTATTGTTTACAGGTACAACATCTTGAGGTCTCAAATAACGCACCAGAGGCTGAAGCCAAAAGTTAGAGATGCTTCTGTGTCTTCAGGATTACGTAGCAAAGAACAGCATTGTTTTCTTTGGACTTTAGCTTTGAGCTTCGACTTGTGTTTTTACTTTGCTGTGGTTTAAGCAGCTAGCTACAAGGACTAGCTAATGAATATGTTGAAATCAATGGGGATTAGTTTTATCAGGTTTACTGAGATTCTGTGGTACAGGCTCAGTGCTTATATAATACAGAAGTTACATTTGAAATAACTCAAATATAGTAATTCTGCATATTAAGTGTTCACAGTAGTTTCTCACACCATATACTCTTTAAAGTTTCTACATATCCTACTACAGAATGGTGATCTTAGAACAAATTACAAATTAAATTGTGATTATTTGACCTGTACTGCTGATTGATGTTTGTATTACTTTAAAATTTTCTGATGCTACTGTCACTGATTTTTTTCTTCTTTACAAGAAAAATTGGAATGAAGCATCAGTCAGTGAAATTGTTGACAGACCATCAGCTGTAGGAAATACGTAGGGGTAAAATTCAAATTCAGTGAAATACTGAAGAAGACAACCATCTTAACTTTCCAGGAAATACATGGACAGGCATTTGAGACATATTTTACCACTACAATGGCTGTAACTATCTGCTTAAGGAAA